GTGTCTCATTCTCTGTTAGGCTTTTAAGCAGATAGCTTTATCAGTGTAAAACATCTTGTCCCACCTACACATGGAAGGCTTAGCATGTTTGCAAATATTGGGTAGAAAAGCTGGATTGAGGAAAGCTGCCTAAATGTGAAATGTTTGCTTGAGGTGGACAAAGGACTGGATAAATTGGGACTGCACCACTGAAATATGAAAGGACAAGTGTAGAAGGCAGATAATTTTTCTTATAGTTTAAATGATTCCTCTAGTAATCTGCTTCAGCTTTCTTGCTAGTAGAGCTTCTGAAGATGAGTAGGACTTAATGAAAATGAGGATTCCTTGATGCAGTGACTTTAACCACTGACAGTGTTGTTGTAGCAGTTGCCTACAACAGACCTACTGCTCTCCAGTGAACAACCTGTAATCCTTCTGCGCTGTTGTGGTGATTGTATAGGATCATTAGGGGTGGGGATGTTACTGTTTTCACGGGCTTTGCTTTTGCAGCAAAACTTTGCCTCAAGCACTATGAATCCTTTTCTTTGAAAGGATTGATGTCTTCCTTTGAAGTACAATTGTTAATAAGATTTAAACCCTCTCCCTGATCATAGTCCCTAAAGAAAATCTGACTAATTCATGCAGAAGGCTTTCTTTTCAATCAAAAGTAAACAAATCCTGAACGAGTCGTTTTTAAGTTGAAACTAAGTTGAGGCATGCTAAAATTTGACACTCATTTTTCTCCTACCTTCTCTCATCCACTTAGCAGAGACTGCAGAAGTGTGATTGCATAGCTAAAAGCAAGAGGGTATAATTTCCCTCTGCTTTTTTGAAGTGGTCTAATTTCAAGCCCCTTTATGCTATACTGATCCATGAAAAAGTTTTGATATATGCTATTTCTTTCACTGCCATTGAGGCTTCTCTGTTGCCGGTTGTGTACCTGGACCGACAGGGCGGAAAGCTTTGGCCTGTAGAGAGCAAAAGTGCAGTATCTGATAACAGAGGTTTGCTTGTGTTTGTGAGTTGTTGAGCATGGCATCTTAATGTCTCAACAGAAGACAACCATGATAAATTGCACAGCCTTGCAGCATATTTTATGCCTTCTTTACTGTACTAGGCTGTATATCTTTTGGCTTTGCTATGCATTGCCTGGGAAACCCCAATCCTGAAAACTTCTGTGCTGGTTTTTTTTTTTTTTTTTTTTTAATGCAAAAGTGAAGTTTTTGCGAAGAAACACTTCACTGTGAGAAGACTTCACAAGGGATTCTCTACTAGGCTGTTTTTCCTAGAGTACTTTGCAGTAAAATAAGTACTTGTTTTGATTAAGGTGTTCAGCCCTGTAATCAGCTGTATGAAAAGAGCTGATGGCTTCAGGTTTCTGAAGGAAAACTGAACTTAGATATCCTCCCTTGAGTCCAATGACTGAGTTTTGTGGACTGCTGTGTTTTGTCAACTGGAAATAGGCTGAGTTGTACTAAAGCTTTTTGAAATAGCTCTAGAAGGCATATGTAAGTGGACTTGACCTTGTGATAGGGTTAAACAACTGCTAGATAAGATATGAAAGATCTACCTGCGAAGAAGGTTCTCTTACTGTATGGCAGAGTCCAAGTATTAAACTGAGCAGAGGCTTTTGGAAGTAGAATTTCAAATGGACTGCATGAGAGATATATTCACACTTGTCAGGGTTATCAAATGGTGGAGAAATAACTTGATCAGGATTTAGCAGAGACAAAAGGCGAAATTATTGTAAAATTTTAATAATGAACTGAATAAAATAAATGGTTACTTTTGTTCTTCGTGGCCCCTGAGTTCACATCTACTTTTTCCTCATTGAATTGGTATTTTATAAATTAATTTACTTCCTCACCTTTGGACTCATTCTGGTCAGGTTATTTGTCTTCTTTAATTGAAGTGAGATTTAATTCACAGGGAATGATATGATGTTACATTTAGTGTTGCACATTTGGTCTTGCAGTATAATAAAGAAAACCTAATAGAGTAACAAAATCTGCTTACAATGAATGTAGTCTGTCTGCTACTGCTATAACTACAGCATGTTGTTAGATTGAAGTGTATCTTACAAGATATTTTCTCATCCAATTCAATTACCGTTTTAAAATAGGGATGCTGTTTTTAGGACCTATTCTGTGACCACTTAAGTTGTCAAAAGCTTTTTGAAACACTATTACAGAGTTTGAAGTCTTTAAAGCCTACACAATATATTAGTGTTTTGTATTACTAAGGAAATCCCAGCATCCCAAGACGCTTTTGAAACTGGAAATATTTTATTCCTTATGGGAATTGAATTGAACATAGAAATGTAATTGCGCATTTCAGTCTGCAGTGGTGTCTTGTTACTTTTAGATTTGTGGTTTTCTGAACCCTAAGCCTAGGCCTAACCCTAACCCCAACCCTAGGTGCAGCAGTAACACCAGCCTTGGGTGGAGGCTGGTGGCAAGCAGAAAGATGTGGAGGGAGCCATGTTGTGGCAGTCCTGTGTTCCTCTTGGCATGCTGTTTTTGTCTGCTGTGTGCTTGAACTGTCTACATCTGGAGAGTCTTACAGCACTGATTTTTATCAGAATTTGTGAAGATAGCCATAGTCTCCTTTGTTGTTTTTATCACAAGTACTGGAGACTGATGTGAAGTTTCTGATTCTGTGCTGCTAATGGAATTTGTCATGTGATAGGTAGATGTGTAATATTAGTTTCAGTTAAATTCTTAAACAAATGCAATGGCTACATTGAAACAACCTCTAAGTTGTCCAATGAAGGAACTCATAAATTGTCTCTGCTTTGTTAATTAACTTCTCTTACTTCACCTTCCGATACCATCTTTAATTACATTATCATATTAGTTTTTCCAAAGCTGCTTGTTTCATGCATGGTAGAGATCTGCTAAAAGGGTGAATGAGGGTTGTAAAGTGAAGGACGCTTTTCCCTGGAGGAGTCTGCTGGACTTTACCAACATGGAAAGATTTCTGTTTGCAGGAGATGCTGGCAAAGAGGAACCGGCAGGAAGTGAAGTAAGTATATGTCAGTTAAAGATTCCTATGATTATCAGCTGTGGTATTAGGGAAAGTACTTAGAGCAGGCTTTTTCTAAATGGTGTGTAGGCATGCATCATGTTTTTCCAGTGTTTTTTGGTAGAAATGTTGAGCTCTCAGAGTTGCAAACACATTGCCAGAAGGTGTGCGTTTAAGGTATAGTGGTATCATTGCTTAAGGAAGTCCTGATAAAAGCACCCAGATCCTGGGTCTTGGGTTCTCAAATCCACTTGCTACTTTGATCTCTGATTATTCTTGTTGTGGGTTATAGTTTTTTATTTTGTCTTGTTTTGTCTTGTTTATTCTCTGCAGGAGCATCAGTAATGTAGAAATAGTACATACATTTCATTTTCACAGGACTGTTTAACAAGTAGCAGTGTACTGGCAGGTGCCTTAAAGTAAATGAGTACATGAACTGGTTCTTACTGGTTGTGCACAATCCTCTCCACTGCATCTGATTCCAGGGGGTTTATAATCTGGAGAGTAGCTTGTATGGAATGCCAGCTTCATTCTGGAAGTGGTGTCACCCAAACAGATAAAGTGTGCAGGATTTATGCTGGTTGTGCTGGCTTCTCCACACGTGGAATATGTTATCTGCAAAAAGGATGGGCTAGATTGTGTTACTTGTATTGTGTGAGAGTGCTTAGCAAATGCATAGGAAATACATTGCAATGCCGAGAGAAGCAGGGTTAGGATGGAGATAGAATCTTGAATATATGAAAATATGTGTGTATATGGATACACAGGGAAGTGCATAACCTCCTTGCTTGCCTCAGAAATCTTAACAGTTGTACCCTGTATATTTTTGAACCCTTTTAAAATGGTAAAAGTCATTGCTACTTTTGAGACAGGCTGGATGTTTTCCTGTGCTAGCAGTTTCAAGAATGTAAACAGAGCACACGTACAGGGAGCAGAGATGTCCACTACAGAGAAAAGATTTTCATCTTTTGAGATATGCACAGAGAAATCCCTTCTATACTGGCAAAGAATTGCTGTGTGGGATTTGGCAGCTTATGCTACAAAAAAATTCTGTTTGTTGTTGGGCGCTTCTGCTTGGGCTTTTTTTTGCTGTGGTCCCAAAATGAAATAAATTATATGCCTAGTTGGTTTGCTAAAAGGAGAATAAAAATGTAAACTTTATAAAAAGAAAAAGGGTGGGGGGGAGCTGTGTGACTTAGATACTGGTGTGTGAGGGAATACTAAGTTCTCTTAAGCCTCCCAAATATCTGCAAGATAGCAATTTTTGTTTCATTTTAAGTTTCCCCTGCAGGTGTGCAACTAGGATATCTAGGATATTAAGTAATGGATGAATGGAATGTTTCAATGTTTTATCCTATTCTCATAGTCCTTTAATATGACATCTCAATTTATTTGGATTTAGATACATGAAGGTTTTATCTTTCATGCTGTTTGGTTTTGTTTACTTTGGTATTGATAGAGATGCACCCTTCTATGTGAATAGGGTGCTCTACAGATGTTTTCAACATCTGTTTATGATATGGTTTCTGGCAGAACACTTCTAAGAGTTTGTAATTATATCTATTACTGGAAGATATTTTAAAAAAAACCAGAGAAATAACCTCTACTTTTTTTTTTTATCTGTGCAGTCTATGCAACATTAGTTACTAAGTGACTCTGAACAGACATGGTCAGATGGCAAAAGTGTCATAATGAGAAACTAAAAATGCAGTGATATGCATAAAATGTTTATTGCATAAACTTCTGTTTGGCTTGTTTATTTCAGTAGCACCTTATTACAGTCACTAATCTCAAAAGTTTGAGCATTATAAGCTATTATCATGCGCAAAAGTCTAAGATGATCCCATATAACATGCTGTAAAAAATTCTATCCTCAAACTGACTTAAAAGAAGAAAAGTTTGTATTCTCTTTAAGAATGTTCTTTTCTGTTAGATGCTATAATGTGATGTGCACTGGTACATGTGTGGTACATTTCTTTTTGTTTTCTTTTTAACAGATTTCTCTGGGTACCAAAGCTCAGGACACAGTATCAATCTCACCATGATGCTTGAACATCTGTAGCTCACTGGAGGATTTTAAAAAGGAATTCAGCATGACCTAGTTGGTTTGACCTGTGGAAATTTTATAATGTCCTCTGGAACAAGTATCAGCAGAAATAGGCAGGCTCCCAGCCTGCAGGGTGTTGACCCAGAAACATGCATGATAGTGTTTAGAACACATTGGGCACAGGTAATGTTAATTAGTTTTATTGATTGAAGTAAGCTGCATTAATACAAATTTGCTTCATTCTCTCTTTTGGGATAGTCCTGAATTGCTGAGGAACAAATGTCGTTTCATGCAGGATGTAGTAGATGACACTGAACTATTTTTAAAATGCAAAGATATTTGACCTTTCAAGGTATGGTTAGCCTTTACTAATCACACTTGCAACTCTGGATTTGCATCTAAATGGGAAGTGGTAGGACATGGTAATATCTTATTGAAGGTCTAGATCTTCTTACTGGCTTTCCTATTGATTTATTGTGACTTGCGCCCTGTTGCAGACTTCTGTGCTTCTTTTCCTAGTGCTGGGTAAGTCTTGCCTATCCTTTGTAAAGTAAATTAAATGCACAGTGCAAAGCTGTATGCACTCTTGTTTATTATGGATAGATGTAGATTATACACTTCAGCATATTCTGAAAATTGTTTGCATGTCATCAGGATTGTAATTGCTTTTAAGCAAATATGTTTTGCTGTGAGCATCATAATATAAGGTCTTGTTGCTGCAGTAATATTAATAACCTAACAATTTAGATTAAATTGATTTCTCTGCTGCTGTTCTTGTTCCCTTGTTCTTCTCCCTGCATGTATTGTTCTTTGGCTCTCCCAGGAAACCAGCCAGACAAATGGTGGTGTTTCCAAGGTGTTTCCAGAGTCAGAGGAGCTGTCGTTCAAGAATCACCTTTTCTCACCTTACTAACTAGTGATGTGTCATATTAGGGGAGCCACTGTTCCTTTAGGGTTTTGTGGCAAAAAGGCTAAAGACAATGGGGTTTTTTCAGACAGTGAGCTTTACTGTTTGCATGCACAGCAGAATGTAATTCAGGGTTAGAAGTACTGGTATGACTATTCTTACTAAACTGAAAGTTGCAAGAGTATATGGGCATCAGTGGCCACTTGGTATCATATAAAAAGTGTCAAGCAAAGAACGGCACTGTGGGCTGCTACTGCTCTTACTACTGCAAATCAACCCATGATTTTGATATTCCTGAGCACAGTTACTCTGGCTGGAGAACAGGCCCTTTGATTTCAGTCCTCTGTGACAAACTTCTTTCAAACATCATGAAAGCTCAGTTTCTGAACACTAAGTAAGACTTATTTATCCCTATTTAAGAGAACCCCTGGTTTTCAGGAATAGAGTAAATGACAAATTTAGGTGCTTATTTAAAAAGGTGAACAGCAGCAGTATATTTTTGCCTTGTACATGCCAAATGTTAAACTTTTGGGTCTTGTCTGTCAAACTTCCTAAATTTGAAAACATAAAAAGACTTAATGCTTATTTTGTTAAAGAATTTTGATTTTTTTTTCCTTGTGCATGCTTTTTATGATGCATTCAAGTGCATTAAAACTGATCTGTCTTTGTTTCTCTTTAGGTTCTGAAAATCTTAGAGAAGCATGATCCTTTGAAAAATACTCAGGCAAAATATGGGGCAATCTCGCCTGATGAGGCCAGCACTGTCCAGAATTACGTGGAGCACATGCTTTTCTTATTAATTGAGGAGCAAGCAAAGGATGCCTCGATGGGGCCTATCCTGGAGTTTGTGGTCTCAGAAAACATCATGGAGAAGCTTTTCCTTTGGAGCCTACGGCGAGAGTTCACCGATGAGACAAAAATTGAGCAACTTAAAATGTATGAAATGCTTGTAACCCAGTCTCATCAGCCTTTGCTGCATCACAAGCCCATTTTGAAGCCTTTGATGATGTTGCTGAGCTCCTGCTCAGGAACAACCACTCCAACCGTGGAAACAGAGGTGGTTGTCCTCTTGAACCAGCTCTGCTCTATAATAGCCAAAGATCCCTCCATTTTAGAACTGTTTTTCCACACTAGTGAGGACCAAGGAGCTGCCAATTTCCTCATTTTTTCCCTGCTGATCCCCTTCATCCATCGAGAAGGAACAGTAGGCCAACAGGCCCGGGATGCACTGCTTTTTATTATGTCTCTGTCTGCAGAAAACAACCTTGTTGCAAACCACATAGCAGAAAACACCTATTTTTGCCCAGTAAGTTGTTCTTATTTTACATGGTCTTCAGGGCTAAACTAACTGTCGTTCGTCCTTTTCTGTCATTTTTGGTAAGAAGTGTTGTAACACATTTGTTTCTACTAACACCTATTTATTTCATAAATGGTAATGCTGATTAAACCATCCCCAATGCGAAACACACTTTTGCTTCTTGTTTCCATACTTACGTGCTTTTGGGCCAGCACAAATGTTTTTGCAGTCACACAGTGAATTGAATTGGAAAACTGATGGAAGTCATAGCAGAACATAGTGAAAAGGAAATCTGTTCTGTCTGACTGTGAGGTACCTTTGAGATGCTGGGGCTGAAGGGAGTGCGAGAGGAGTGAGGTGTCCTGAGGGTGGTTGTTTCAGGTGGCAGCACAAGCTTAAGCTGGCTGTGCTTCCCACACTGACAACAGTTCAACAGTTCAAAAAACAAGTGTGAGAATAGTGAGAGTGTTACAGAAATACTATAATTTTTTCAAGATAAAGGGGTTATTTGCTTGTTGTCACAAAATTGGATGTTTCTATGGCTGTCTCAGGCTAACCACCATCTTGTTATGTTGTTCTCAGTTAAAAAACTTGGTAGCACTGTTGCATTGTTACACCTGACAAATTGCTCTTACTACATGAATAGAAAACCTTTACTTACCTTGCTGTTAAGTAATCAATCTGATTTAACTAACAAAGCTGTGCTACTGCAGTTCTAAAGCTAAAGCAGACTGGAATAACAACACCTGCTTCTTCATGCCTTATCACAGTCTGAGATTTGCAGTGGGTGTGTTCAAACGCAAGTATCATTCTGTACAGAAGTTGCTCTTGTGGGTCAGTTTTTGGATGGATTCATTTATGTTCTTCATGGCTTGCATTTTAATTTAAAATCCTGGAGAAATGAAGTGGAGGAGAGTCTTACATGGCTACTAAAGCAGAGAGCTGTAGAAGAGAGAGCATTAGAATCCCTGCCACTGCTCGACAGCTGCTCCAGCCTTAGGTTTTCATGTATTCTGAGATTACTTAGAGCAGTAGGGCTGAGCCACATTTGTAGCGTAGGTGAAACCTAAAAATTCCACAACAAAACTTCTAAATGGTTTATTTTGTCAGTTGTAAATATTGCATCAATTTGAGACTCCAGTTGCCCTCATTTAATAGATGCTGCCAAAGAATATGGTGTCGATTCTCAAACTGTCCCCAAGACAGATACCATTATTGGATCCATGCTATAACTTCCATAATTACATTTTCCAGTTAGTTAAAAAAAAAAAATAACCAGCCTTATTACACTGAAGATAAAAGCCAGCTTTCAACAGCAGGGAGCCATGACTGACAATCATTCCAATTAGGAAGGCTTCTTGTCAAAATGTGCTAAAATCAGACTTCTCTGAACAGTAATGAGGTTGGCCTAAGCCTATAATAAGACTTTAATGTAATGCCATATATTTAGCTTACGAGCACAATATCTTTTCTGAATTTGAGTTGTGATGAGCTGAAAAACAGATTTTGTTCTGATGGAGGATTTTGTAGGTGTCAGTGACATTCCTGTGTATCACTGAAATCAGTGCAAATGTTGCCTCAGGTGCTCTGCAAAACAGTTAATGCAGTCCTGTGCTGATACCAGAAACATTTTGGGTGGCACTGTGTTGATGTTATCTCTGTTTCTGGGGATGGGTTGGCATGTAGGATTTTCTTTACCATGCCTTATTGCATAATATAGGTATCCTCTGGGGTGGGATCTGGCCATAAATCTCTGCTGCCTCATGTACCCAGATCAATGTTAGATCTGTGCCAATGTGAACCCTACTGTTTTTTAACATAAATTTGGTTAATAGCTTTTTAAAAACTGTGCTGTCCATAGATTCACAGTATTCAAAACTGTAGCTGAAAAAGGTGTAAGGAAGGAAGGAGACAGTTTGCAGTGGCTTACATCACTAACAAATGTTTTTAACACGGAATGTGTGGGCAAACTATTCGGAAAAGTTTTCTGATTTTACACCATATAGCTTTTATCCTGTTTTGACGTGAAAGTTTTCTGGATATGATTTAAGATACTGTCTGTTCAGCATTAATTAATAATAATAATGTTTCTCAAGAATTTTGAGCAGGGTCACATGACAAAGTCCCCCACAAAACTTTGTAAATACCTTGCAGCTTAGGAAAGCAACTATTATAGCAGGAGGAAGGATGGCTCTGCAGTGTCCTTGAAAAGCTGTGGCTGCAAAGGGAGAGAAAGACTGTGGATGTGGGAGGAGAGAGAATTATTAAAAGGAAATAATTGTCCAGATAGCAATTGTTTATGCATTAGCAACACATTAATATATCACATTAATATCATGTGGTATTATGCCTGGGATTACAAATCATGTTGTCAGTGTCTTCTCTGAGTCAAGAGAAAGTAAATAAATCAAAGAAATTGGTTTGTAGAGGGACTCATGACTCAATGGTGAGAAAGAAAATGCTGAGGTTGCTTGTAAAAGTAGATGAGCATGTAGGGCTGACATGATAAATGCTAGAAGAAGTTTAAAAGGACACTGCTTTGCATAAAACAAAAAATAAAACCAAATCTTGCTTTTTCAGGACGTGAATGCATTAATTTCCTTCCCTTTCAGATTATTTCTTTCATTAATGTTTCATTACCAATTTAAAACTCTGTTCTCTTGGTAATTTCAGATGGTAACCCTATTTATACCATACACTTTGTGAACATTTTAAAATATTTTTAATCTGAAGAGATGAAATTGCTACCTGTGGCTACTCTGTCTCAGTGCTTAAGAAACATAATTCCAAAGAGCCATTTGTGTTGTACTTCATAGCAAAAATAAGAGCTTCTAAAACTTTACAGATTTTAGTAGCTGCATCTGTCACTTGTTATTTCAGTAAGTCTGACAGACTAAAGACTTTGACTGATTGTGAGTTCACTGCTCCTTTTAGTGGAGAGTATGATGTTTTGTTCAAGGTCAGCTTCTTGTGCTTAAGGGCTAATACCCACATGAAGGAGAAACGTGGATGGGACACAGCTCTGAGAATCCGGTTGCATACTGAGAGGGTGCGTTTGTGTTTATGAATAGCAATTAAACTTTAAGCAGGCAACGGAAAATCAAGTGTGCATTAATTAAAAGTTCACAAGACAAACAAATGTCAAATTCTCTCGTCATCAGAAGCCTGGGTTTGTGAGAGTAAGTGTTTGTGTGGGTTATGTGTAGGTAGTTCTGTAAGAGCTTTTTTCTGAGCGCTTCTACTGTGAGAAAGAAAAAACCCTAAATAAATTTTGGTTGTAGAAGAATGGGATTGTACAAATAAAACTTTGCTGAATAGCTTTAGCTTCTCAATTTTTGAACATATGTCGAGCTTTGTCCTTTGTTTATATGTATATATAAGACTGTGTGTATGTCACTGTACTAAAGCAGTCACTTTCCACAGTATTCACAGTATTCTCCTCTGCCCTTTAATATTTTGCTTACTTACCTATGCCAGAATAAATCCATCGTCAAAATTATGTCCATTAGGAATGAAAAGTATTCAGAAAGACAGACTTCGTCTGACTGTATGGATTAACAGTTACAATTGCTTGTGCTTGTGTATGACCAAAACCTGATCACTGTCTGTGAACCCTTGGTCTTTGATCTGGACATTATCTTCCAGTGTTTTAGTAGATAAGATCTGTGTTTCCTGTGAGCTTTGACAGTGTAGCCTTGTAGATGCCAAGTAGCCATTTGTAAGAGGAAATATTCTTAGAAGAGTCTGTTGAATTAAAATTAAAAAGATTTCCATTGGGTCGAGTTATAATGTTCCCATTAAAATGAAAGTCATCTTCAAAAATTATCGTGAAGTTCTGTGAAGTCATCTCAGAAGGGTAAGAGTCCTCAGTAATATTTAGAAAGTTTCTGGCTTCAAATAACTTTAATAATTAAGTACTGCATTTGAAAATACCATACTGTAGGTACATTCAGCAAAATTTAAAAAACTTTTTGGAAATATGCTTTCTAAATTGTAACTAAAAATGCTCTCTTGTTCTTCAGTGATACATTCTACATAAATCACTGTAAGGCTTAATATTGCTGAAAACATTGTTTAAATACTAACTGATTTCAAACTCTTTATTTTGAAGCTTCCCTCCTTCAAATAAATAAGGGAAAAGGGAAATTATGAACAGTTAAATTTACTTCTTTAAAAGTGGATTCAGCTGAGTCTAAGTGCCTGGCAGTCCAAGTCAATATGTATCTGTGATCTGAGTGGGGCTGAACTTCATTTTTGTTGATGGGGCACTTTCCCCCTCCATTTCTGATGTTTCGTGTTTCTGAGTGAAATTACTTCCTACATGTTTGAGCTGTGACATTTGAATCACCAGCAAAAGGCAAGCTGTAGATAATGGCACTGATGGCTGTTTCTAAAAGGGACTAAAGGAAAGCACAAAATAAGTTTAGAAAAAATTATAAAGAAATTATAACTTTGGATTAATAAAAAAAGACAAGATAACCTGATTTTCTCCATCACTTTCTTCTAAATACCCGATCTTGAAAGAAGCATATTATATGGAAGGCTCTTTAAAATATTTATGTATTTCTGCCACAGGACTTTTTTGAAAGGAAATTAAATTAATCTTAACTCTTTCTTATGTTACTAAAACTAATAGGAGAAACCATTTGTGGTACTGCCATTCAAGCAGATGGAAAGTTAACTTATTTCCTCTTCTGTTTCTGAAATACAGGTGCTAGCAACAGGACTAAGTGGCCTCTATTCATCTTTGCCTACAAAGCTGGATGAAAAAGGAGAAGAATGGCACTGTCTGATGAAAGATGACTGGCTTTTGTCACCAGCCCTTGTACAATTCATGAATTCCCTTGAATTTTGCAATGCTGTGATACAGGTAACTGAACGGAGTTAGCCTGTTCTGTAGAAGTAGTAGTAAGTTACAGCTCTTGCAGGAGTTTGTAAGTCATAGAGTTTATTTATTTTTGTTAATGGCATGAATTATTAAAGTTAGACTAAAACAAGTTGTGTATAAAACGAATGCCTTGTGCTGTCTGTTCTGGTTATAAGGATCAACTAATATATTTGTGGTTTTCAGGTGCCAAATATTTCAAATGAAAGCTTGATATTACATTATGTAATTGGGACCAGTTTCTGTTAAAAGAAAAAACAAATGTGTATTGCATTTTAATATCACTGTTCCTCCTAGAAGTAAATTGAATGCCTTTACATGTGGGAAAATGTAGGGTTTATATGTATATTTTTTTAAGCTCTCATAATGGTATGCAAAAGAAAACAGTGAAAATGGTCTGTTTTGCCTGTTGGGGAGTATAACAGAAAGAAAGCCTTCCAAGCAGAATTATTTAGGTCTCCTCCTAGAAGTCTAAATTAATTTTATATTGGCCTGTTTTCTATTCTGTTCTTACAGGGTTCTTTTTCAGTGCTTTGCTCCCTTAGTATTTTTTTCTGATTTGAATGTAAAATGAAATTCTTGTCTTTATATATTGTTTTTAAGGCTTGAATATTGATAGAACCCACATCCAGTATTTCATTAAAACAGAATAAAAATTCTGCAGAAACTGTGGATTTGTGTTATTTGAAGAAATGTGCTGGATAGGATTGAAAATTTAGTCACATTTACTGTTAAATAAAAGATATGTTTCGGTGCAATGCGTGCAAAGTGCAGTAAAGGAACTGATTGACTATTAAAGCCTTGAACAAGCAAAAATAATAGTAGCTGTCAATGTTCAAATGCACTATACAAGATTTTTAGCATGCATGTTTAAACATGAAGAGGAGACAATATTAATTTTGGTGTCTAACCAGAGTTATTCTACAGATCTGCTTTTGCAGGAGATCATAATTGATACCTTTATCGTAAAAAATTACATAAAGGGCACTGCATAAAAGGTAAAGAATGAATTATTTAAAAAAAATACTGTTCAAATAGATGTAAAATGGTTAAGGCTATATGCTGACATGCAGAAAGAGCAGTTTCTGACTGCTGCTGGATTGTGTCTGTATAGTCTTCAGCTGACTTGAAAGCTCAGTTACTGTAGGAATTCCTGCTTTGCACATGGACTGGTCTGTGTTCACCCAAAAACTTTGGCCAGAGATTAAAAAGGAATAGGGTAGCCAAGACCTCTTGCCATTTAGTACTTTTTCCCTGGACCACAGCATAGGAAGGGCCACTCTTTTTCTTCCTCTTACCAAATTAAGAGTTACAAGTTAAAGGAAGTCTGGTAAGAATTGCAGGTTGGAGAATCTATTTGGAGGCCACGTATAGGCTGTGACACTCCAGTCTCTGTGAACTTCAAACGTAATATATTGGTTTTGAAAACTTCTGAATGGAATTTCATTTTGCTTTTATATACATGAATTGATGTGTTTTCAATGCAAAGACAAAAGAAATGTTTAATTATAAAAGTATAAAAGTAAATTTTCATTTACTTTTTTAATTATAAAAGTAAATTTTTGGCCTCTAATAATATTTTGGGGATTTTTTGGTTGTTTTGTTTGTTTGTCTTAAAGCTCTTAACCATCCCATTGAATGAATTATGCAGGTTTATTTTGTAATTTCTTTTTGTTTTACAGTGGCTGGGAGAAGGGCATGTGAACAATGTATTCTTTCCCCATAGCTAGAGAGTGCTTTGATTTACCTACTTGTGAATTATAAGAAAGCAGCTGGTCTGCTTTCCTTTATTGTAGAAGGACAAGTTAACAATGGCAAATTCACCTTCAAGTGACCCCAACAAGGTTGCAGGAGCTGAATTTAGAATTTCAGTTCTTGCTTTGATGCATGACTACATACACTTCTCTGCCCATCCATTCATATTTGTCAGCATGCAGGAAGATTAAAAAGCCGTGTCTCTGAGTTTAGCAGACTTACTGTAATTAAAGATGGTGTGTGTATTTCTTTGTAGAAGAAACAGTTGTTAAGAACCAGAATCATATCAAATGCTTGTGAGAAGGACTAACAAATGTCTTATTAAATGGGAAAGGGTTTTGGTAGTGAATAATAGCATTCTGTGCCCTGTCTTTTAAATCTCACTGGAGCTGTTCTGTGTCTTTCTCTCCCCCTCCCTCTTAGGTGGCACATCCCTTGATACGCAACCAGCTTGTGAATTACATTTACAATGGATTTTTGGTGCCGGTAATGGCTCCTGCGCTCCATAAGGTCAGTGATGTCTGCAAGCATGGCACAAAAGAAAAACGGGAATAAGCATGATGGAAGATCTCTGTGTGAAGATACTATCAGATATAATAATAATAGCATCAGATAATAATAATAATAATAATAATAATAATAATAATAATAATAATAATAATATCAGCTGTACTGTCAGTAGTGACTTCCATGCAATTCAATATGTTCCTAGACTAACCTTCCATCTTTTCATTCTATATACTTTTGTAAGCAACATATAGGTATTCTGAAAATGTTTAAAATTCTTAAGTGTAATGAAAAAACAAAATGTTTGTGTTGTTCTAGACTCACATATCATCAAAAAACCAGTGACATTTTAGACATTTCATCATGGCAAACATGTTTCTGTGAGCATTTTTTTTGCTAAATGAATATTTTTCTAAAGGAAGATGCTCACAAGGAAGATGTTTAGTCAATAAATATTATGCTAGTCTTAGCGAAGTTGCTATTGTTTTGTAGTTCCTTATCATATTGGGTAGAGTTATTTTCCTAAAGTAGAGCTTGGTATTAGTTTTCTAATGCATTAGAGTGCAGTTTGTGTAACTTTGAAGAAAAATAATTCATTTTTTCTTAGAATTTTAGGGTTTATCCTTCATAAAATGTGTCACCAATGTTAGTAAATTATGTATTTACTTTTTTTTGGTTAGGTTGCAAAAAGCTATATTTCCGGCTGTTGCAGACTATGTCAGTTCCCTATCCCTGAAGGTGTTCCAGGCCAGGTTGGATGGGACATTGAGCAACGTGGTGTAGTGGAATGTGTCCCTGCCATTGGCAGAGGAGTTGGAACTAGATGATCTTTAAGGTCCCTTCCAACCCAGGTCATCATATGGTTCTGTGATTTTATGAATTAACAATCTTCATTGCGCTGTAAAAGAACACCTCTTCTGAGGAGAAAATGTAGGAACAGCTGAGAGTAAAAATCCACAAAAAACTTCCAGAAGCAAACTAAAAAATTACTTTTATAAGGTCTCCTTATTCTCACAAAGCCTACCAAGCACAAAACATTGCAGCTGTTCCATTTTCTGGAGAACAGTGAAACACTGTACCCTGCTTTCTTGTTCACAACTTGTTTCAGTAGCGCACACAATTCTTCATGGTGAATAGTCACCAAGAAAGTCATTAGCAATGCAGAGTCTTTTCCAATGATTTGGCAGATCTCAAACACTTGGGAATTGGGTGAGGGTTGAAGTAAAATTTGGCTGTGATCCAGATCAAGGCTTTAGTCTGTCCTGAGGTAGTTCACCTCCTTACCTGGCAGTTATTTTTTCTATTCCTGTATCTGGACTAAATCCCTCACCAAGACTGGGAATTAGAAGTGAAAAGCCTAACCAGTTTTAGGTCAAGGTTGTAGGTAATGAGGGAGATATCAGAATGGATTCTAGTCTTAGTGAATACTGTTCTGAAGTATTTGAGACTAAGATTGTTTTGAACACTACCATTCCTCTGAAAGCCATTCTTATCAGTCAGTAAATCTTCTGATCTCATATTGGGTTGATTACTTCCCTGTTGATGTTAAAAAATTTAAAGATGGCTGTTGTGATTCCTTTTTTCCTTTGATGAAAATTTTGTTTACATACTCTGACTGAAATCGTATTTCTCTTGAAAAGGGGGATGTTGGCTGCTAACATTGGTGACTTTCATAGCCTAGATCTTTCTCAAACCCTGATACTCTGTGTGGTGCCTTGTTCTTCCAATAATAAACCTTTCCTTGATTAGCATTAAAATTGACTTCTTTCTCATTAAAAATTAACTTCTTCTGTGTAAACTTCAAATGATTTTAATGGAGAAGATGGATTGCACCATCTAGTGGATCTGATACAAGGCTCTCACATCTGTGAGACCAAAACTCTAGCAAAAGGAATTAAGTAAGTTGAGGCACATTTGACCCCTTCAGTCTTTCTGTCCTGTGCTCCATGTTAATAACAGAAAATAAATATTTTGCCTTCTTGCTTTTGGGCCATAACGTTTATATACTATGATAATTATGCTGCAAAAGCTCTTTCATACATTAAAATTATTTCTAGTTGCTATTGAAAACATTAATGCTAAGGGGAAGAGTGGACTTTGAAAACTGTATCTCCCATTTCAGGACTTAATGTTGTAATTAACCTTGAGGTTAATAAAAAATTGGAAAGGGCTAAAATGAGAGGCCAGATGTTTCATGACAGTTTTTAAAACAGAAGTTCTTTCATTTAGCACAATACTAAATGTATCTTGACTTTTTTCTTTTGAACTCACTGAAGTTGGTTTGATATCATAAAGTCTACTTGTGGGTGAAGATTTTAGTTTTATTTCAGTCATTCAGTTTGGATTGTTCTGATTTATTCTGGCTTGAGTTCAAATACAATGTGTAATGGAGCATGGTATAAATACATGATTAGGAAGACAGATCAGTGCAAGGTTAAAGGGTGGTAAGAAGGGATGATGACAATTACTGGTACATCTTCCTAAGGTGTTTCTATAAATCTTATTTCTAGAATTTAACTGGTGTGGAACAGCTGCTTCTGATAATTCTTGGTGATAGGATGGAAGGAAGTCAGTCAGTCAGTCAGTCTGTCTAGACCTCATGTGGCATACTGGTCTTAGCATCCCGCATCCAATCTGGCACTCATGGTTCAATCTTAATGTAAAAATTGGAAGGGAGATGAGCTTCTGCCTCTGCTTTTGAATGGCTTGGGCAGGCAGACTACTACAAACCTGATCTTCCTAATTTTCTAATTTTTCTACAAGAAGTATGTTCTGAGGAAAAAAATTGCTCTGCAGCAAGACACAGACTAGCATTAATTGTTTATGCAAAGACAATTCCAGTCAAGAATGGGATTAGACTAGGTAGCTCCAAAGGTTCCTTTCCACCCTAGTTATTCTGTGATTCTGTGATGATTGAATACTGTGATGTCTTTAATGTATTTTGTCACCAGGTCCCCATCCCCTTTCAGCAGTGAGCATGCACTTTCCTTGATATTTCTTTTGCTGTTGAAGCTCTTCTTCAGTTCCAAATGGGCTTTGGCTTTCCTCATCCTTTCTCTGCATACTCAGGCACTTTTTCCATATTCCTCTTGGGTCACCTTTCCATGCTTCTGTCTCTTCCTGTTTCAGACTTTTTAGGAGCTCTTAATTCATCCGCACAGGCCTCTTATCTCCTTTCCTCGATTTCCTTCTCTTCTCCCAACTTAAAACATCTGACTATCAAACAAGACTTTTGGTAAAAGCATAAAATTTTCAGTAAGTAGAATTTCATTAAAAATTGTTTAAAGTTTCACTATGTGGTTCAAAACTTTAAGATATGCTTATGTGTGATCTTGAAATGTTTGTGACATTTACAGAACCATTTAGTAAACTCTGCCTTTTCAAAATCTTTGCAGATTGTCTCCCTATAAATACTTACTATGTACACAGTTCACTGTGTGAATGAAACAGTACAAGACTGTTGAGGATGGAGATGCTTCTGTGAAAAAGTCTGGGGGTGGGGAGACCAATATATTTTTTTCTGGTGTGATTTTTCTGGTTTTATCTTGGGAAGCTAGTATGGAGTTGAAAAAAGGAGTTCTCTAGTTCAGGTTTTTTCCAGTTAAGGAAGTTTCAAATTGATCAGGCAAGCTAGCTAGCTTGAAATAACCTGTTTTTCACAGTGAGCTCTGCAGAGGTTATTTTTGTAGCAGATTAACTGTGATGTGCTTAAATAACCCAAACATTCTCAAGCTTATGACTCCCTAACTTCATTTCTCAAAGATAAGTATCCTAAATATAGCATGTTCTTGTAGCCTAATTTATACCTTGTCTGTCCTAGTCTTGTCACTTTGTGTGGGTTATCCCACCTACATGTGTAATGAGTGTTTGACAAGTACGTTCCTATCTCCAAAGCTGCACATTGCTGAATGGGTAGTCAGAGCCCAGATTTGTATTATGTAGCTGGGCATGTGCATTAACTGGCTGTGCTGGAGAGCCCTGCCTTGTCCTTTGGTTATCTGGATGTTGTACCTTTTACAGAAGCATTACCTCCCTTACTTCTGACACAGGAGTTGCTTGAGACATCAAAAAAGTGATTCAATGAAACTGTTTGTGGAGCAGCGGGGCAGGCATGTCTTTGTGCAAGGTCAAAAATTCATTTGAAAACAGAGGAATAAAATGGTTTGTCTGTAAAGATACAGAGCTAAAGAAAATGTTAATTTGGTAGTTTTTTCCATTATTTCATTTTTTGCACAAACCATCTTTTATTCTTTCTGGTGTAAGTGTCTGGAATTTAGAAGAAATTAAGACTATCTTACAGAAATTGTTCTTAAATTAAGACTGGTAACTTCTGATGGCATGTCAGTTACAACTTGAAATTATCAGCTCTGTATGTTCTTCCCTATATTTTGATACATAGGGGAAAAAAAACTTGGGAGAAGGTATGGTTCTGTTCAGAGAATGGTACAGAGCCCTACCATTGGATTCTGTGACATATTTCATTGGCTATTTCCAGTTGCACTTTCAAAACTAACATTGAGCTCTGTCAATAATATACACAGTCTTCTGAGGCCAGGTTATACAAGGGTCTAAGTAATCAAATAAGGCTAATTTTCTCCTCAGTTGAAACCTCACTGAAATTGAGAGTGAATCCAGAATAACCGTACTGATGTTGTTTTTACTGGTTCTGTTAGAGTCTGTATTGCCTTATTTTGGTCTCTATACAGTTGTTAGTAGATTGTGTTTATTTACCTTATTCTTTTAGGTAGTTGCAGCACTTCTGTAGAAATATAAGTGGAATCCTGTTCAGAAATCTTGAATATGTATATATTTTGCAGTCAAAACCATGTGCTAGATAATTAGGAGCCACACTTTGGTATTTATAAATGTTTTGTTTCCTTTGATACAATTCATATTGGTTATATACATCCTTTCACTGTAAATGCTTGTGATTTCATTTTAGTTTGGCATTCAAAGAATTTGGTTGACACAGGCAGCTATTCAGACCATCTTGAATGTTTATC